TGAAAATTTACGTTTACGTACTTTTCTATTGGCTATTTTTCGCAGTTAACAGTTAATAATTAGTGGTGCCAACAGCCAGTTGTGATTTTTAACTTGAGTGCAATTTTTTTATAGTAAAAAATACATTCATTTTTTTATTAGTGGTACACAGCGTAACGAAAACTTTAGAAAGGGTACACAAAAGTCATAAGTTTGGTAAACACTGGCCTAGGGCATAAACCTTAATACTTTTCTTAAATCAACGCGATACACATTTTATAAAACGCAGAAATAAGAACGGCTGAGAGCATTGCAACTTTCCGTCCAGCTCCATAGTTAGACAAGTTACTATCATAAAATAATTACATTAATATTGTAGTTATCATTAAATTTACTTAAGTTGCCATTGACATATGTTTAGCATATTTTACCACACCACGTGCCAGAAAATATCGATAAAGTAAAAGCCGATATATTCAGACATTGCGGACTCAGACAGGCGTTACTCAATTCCTGACCAGACCACTGAAAAAATGTTTTCTTAGGATGGTTTAGAATCTCTGTCTTTTTCTTGGAGTTAAAAAATCATGGCTGGAATGTTAGAAACGCGTTTCTAAATGCAATTACAAAAAACTCTTAAATGAGATTTTGAAGTTTAAAATAGATCTAAAGGTACACGGAGAAAAAAACTCTGGTAAAATTACCATACTATAATGACATATTTGCTAAAAATAGCATGATTTTCGTTAATAATACCAAAATATACGGTATTTAAACCATTTACTTGGTAATTGTTTCTTTCACATGGTTAAGGTTTACAGGAAATTCTGCTTTTAAGAATTATAGTTCTTACTACCATATATTTAGTAAAAATATACAAAAGTGAAAAGTAAAGAAAAAAATACCGATTTTATGCCTTGCTCTAAACAAGTATCATGATATAATTACCAAATGTTACGACGCTTAAAACATTTTATTACATATTATAAAATTACTTATTGTAATTGCTTATAAAATTACTAGCATTTAAAACAGAGTCAAGCAAAGAAGTGAAGAAAGGTTTGATTCGTTTCTGTGTGTCTTTATGGTGAACAATGCATGTCGTTCTGACAAGTGTGCATGAGTGGTAATGGAGTGCTGCAGGACGCACATCACAGAGATTCGTGGTCATCATTCGAGATGCAGAACTTCTGTCGAAATTTAAGTCCTCTAGTAGAATGCAAGTGGTCGAATTTGAAATTGTTGATAAATTTCACTTGACAATCTAAATTATGCTTAGATAGGTTAAGAAACAATTGAAACAACTATTTCCATTTGACAGTGTTCAGATCATTCAGAAACACTTTAATTAGTAGTTGAAATTTAGATTAAAGACAAATTTCTTTGGGGGGTATGATTCTAAAATCTGCATGTAGTGATCTGGAAACGATAAGAAACTTGAAATGTCATCCAATGCAGAGCAGATTTTAAAATGCTCTAACTATAACTATATTCCTCTAACTATATTCGGCCAGTAGTTGAAATTTTGATTGACCATAAATTTATTGCAGAAATAATATGGCTATAAATTTTGCTTGTGACAAAGTTACCAGGAAATAATTATTATTTAATTTGTCAACAGGCTCGAATGTCTAGATCAGGTTTTAACACTCCAACTTTGTAATAATATGATTATTAATTCTGATTTTATTGGAAAGGATTGAAAGTTACATTGTCGTCAAGCGCTGGGGGGGGGGAAGCTCTCATAACGTAAGCATTCTAATTAATCAGAAAGTGGTCGAAAATTCGACCTGTGATAATGTCGACCTGCAAGTTCCCAACTCGGAGAAGCAAAAAGGAGATGGTGAGGAAGCGAAGCCAAGTGTGGTAACCATTCCACTATCTTTCTCTCTGGCAACCCAGTTGTTTTGGACATTTTTGAAGCTATCGTTGTTGTTGTTGTTGTAGTTCATTTACGTCGCACTAGAGCTGCACAATGGGCTATTGGCGACATCTCTTTGAAGCTATCGTCGTAACTCTCGAACCAAGAGTTAGATATCAGGAATTCTAGTCTAGATGAATCTCAAGCTTCTCTAACTAGTCCACAATGTTTAAAAACTATCAGAAATCTCACGATTGAAAATGCGAGAGTCTCCTGAATTAGGATATCATATTATTGAACAAGAAAACGAGTAAAAGAAAAACTATGGAAAACAACTTACGAATCGATTAACAAAAGTGATATTCATCGTATAACTCTACCTAGTAATATTTTTAAATACCTTTTTGGATGAAAATTTTTGTAAGGAAAAGATTGTAAATTTTGTAAATTGCATAATCGAGTTTTATTGTAGTTGAGCAGAATTTTAAGCAATTATGTCAAAAGGTTTTTAATGCAGGTTTAAATCGTTTTTAAAGAATATTTTTGGAACGATATAAATTCCTAACTAATTATTTTTTATAACATTATTTTACTTCCAGTTCAGATCACATTGTAACAATATCTATTATTATAATATTGTATTACAGTATATGATATCTATTATTGTAATGGATCTTTTTTTCATTTTCAGCAAGCGGTAAGTAGTTTATTTGCTCATATTTATATATATATATATACTCTTTTTGCGGATATAATCGTGTGGGCTGATGAAAAGATTATATCTTTTATTTTCCGGATTTTTTATAACAAATTTATCCTCCCCCCCCAGCTGTTTGTTATTTTTTTAATTATTTTTATTATTTTCCTCCCCTTTCTTCGCATGTCTGTAATTTTCCTTTGTTTTATCTTCATTTTCTTCGTGTTTTTTCGTATTTATTTATTTTGTTATATATATATATATATATATNATAGATAGATAGATAGATAGATAGATAGATAGATAGATAGATAGATAGATGTAGATATTTACTCGTTATTGAAGCTCATTCTGTTCCATTTGTGATAAATATTGAAATTGCAGAGAAGAAACAGGATTGATTTTCATTTCTTGGGTCATACTTTTACAACATGTGAGGTTAAAAAAATTCCGAGTAGTAAGACTGTGAAATTGTGGTGTATTTAAAAACTTACATTATTTATATATTGGAAACTTAAAAAAGACAGGTAATTCGAAAATATTAATGAAATAATGTATTTGAGGAATATAAGTTTAGTAATATGTATTTATATATTTATTTATTTATTGTAAACATTAAGCAGTAGCATATATTTTTTTACACATCAGAAACAGACAATAACATGATTATGAACAGGATAAGTTTGTCGCGGAACGAATCGTAATCAATTATGTCAATAAATGAATTAATCAATTATCAATAACTTTTTAATCAATTAGCCAATCAATAAATTAATTAATTAATTTTATCACTCTTTAATAAATTAATCAATCAACTAATAAATTTAATTGAATCGAATGCAGATCAATAACAAAATGACATTTTTAAGAGCATTCCGATACTTGTTAACGAATTTCTTACAAAACTTAATTACTTACAAAACAACGGTTGATGAATTAGACATTGAAGGAAAGAAATTGACCCTGCTATATAAATCAAAGACAGACTGGTCAAACCTGGTATTCAATGTTCGTCTAGCTCCTATTAACACTGTGTGTTCTGCGTCCACGCTATTGAAAGTGTCTAAGTTGATGAAAGACGTTACTGATCATTTTCCTTGAAAATAATACTAGCGGAAAAAGTTGACATGTGTCGAGCTCCTAAAAATAGGCCCGTATTTTTAAAACTCACCTGACGTAAATAAAGAAAACAAAACGGAAAACTAGAAAAACTGCTGTAGTCTTTTTTATATTTACCTTAATTTCCACTGTTTTTTCGTCGTCAACTTTGCAGTTTTTCTTTCAAAACAGTTTTGTTTTTTAATTTTCGTTGGGTTAGACAAGAGAATGGGAGCCTATTTTTAAGCACTCGAAGCATTTCGACTTTCTTTACTTTTATAATTTATCAATCAAATGAAGTGCTTACATTTCAGGTTTATCTACAGTTTCTTAGGATTATTAATTGAGCCGCTCAGAAGCCATTTTTTGATATTTTCTGATTTTTGGAAATTTTGATGAAATAAATAATAATCTTCTTAGTTATTAAAGGATTTACTCGTTGGTTACTTTTTTCTAGGTTAGACAGCCCTTTTTTTAATAGCTTCTGAATATATTGTATAATAATTTCAGAAGCCATTGTAAAGAAGTCCACTTTTTATCAATATTTTTTTACATAAACTTTGAAATAAAAACTAAATTCTTCTTCTTCTTTCGATATTTGTTGGTAACACTGAAAAACAAGAAATTCGTAGTTAGGGTTGCCAGACGTAGTATTTTTAATACTACGGTAGTATTTTTTCACCAAAAAAAGGGGTATGGTATTTTTCGTCGTATTTTTTTAAAATGTGGTATTTTTTTTTTAAAATTTTATTTTCATTTCCTAAAACAAAGAAAAGTGCCACTCTAGTTTTGAAGTAAAAAACAACTTTTGAAATGATCCAACAGTTTATTTTCTATTAGTCACTGTATCTAGAGATGATTGAGAAAAATAAAAGTTCGTTTATACTAGTAGACATGAATTTCTCATCTTTTTCAGCTGCCAAAAGGTATAAGTCCTAAAATTTTTAAGATGCTGTCATTATTTCAATAAATACTTACGTTTTTATTTACACATCCTGTATATATCTTGTTTTTTTGCAGAGTTTACACCTCGAAAAAAGACTTTATACACTTTTCTAATTAAATTAATAAACCAAGAATTTTAAAAACTAATGTATCAAAAAACATTAATTTTCTCAATTGTTGTGTTTTGGACTTAACCGCATTGGCTTCTGAGCGACTCAATTTCATAAATGCTACAGTTCGAAGACTCCAAAATATCGATTTCTCACGAATACATGTGGGAAAAAACAGAACATTTTTAAGACCGCAATTTTATGACTCCCTTCATTCCAGGGTGTCTTTCTCTATAATTTGAGAACCTGAGTATTAATATAATGACGGTCATAAATACAAGCCTAATAAATCCATAGCGTGCATAGAATTCAATATATTGATTTACTTACGTTTCTTCAGTACGTTTAGTTTCTTCAGTAAATTTAGTATCTCGTACACCAGGTCTGTATCCACCCTGGGTATGTTGTTCATGCAATATTTTAGCTGGTTGCTGTTGAGGAGCAGTTCTTTGGCCTCCTTGAAAATTGAATCCAGCACCTAATGGTTTTTGTGGTATATTACCGAATGGACTTCGTTTCCTAGTCATTTCAAATTCATATTCTCTATCAGCATTTTCCTCGGCGACATTAAGGAAGACGCCTACCAACATCTGAACTTCATGTACAAATTCTTCATTTGGACGGAAACCACTTTCTCTGTAAGCGTGTCTCAACGCATCGGTGACTGCTCTTGTTTTCTCTACGACGCTCAAGGCATCGTCGTCGCACTCGGCGACAATAAGCTCGGCGAGCTCGGAAGCGAAAGCTGTCATCAGAGTTTTCTTCTGAGATGGAGGCTCTTTGTGAAGCTTTGTAAACATCGCCATTGCTCTCATCAAGTTTTCTATAATCTCGGTGAAATCTTTGTCCTCGGACTTTCCGAACACTCCGGACGCAATTATATTATCCACAAACAGTTGCGCAAATTGTTCACTCATTTCATCGAAACCCATTACATCTTGATTCCTTTGGGCATGAGATTGTCCAATGCTTAAGATGCATATCGTTATAAATGCTAGTGCCGACCACCCCATGTTCGGCAATCCAGTGCACCGATTTAATGTATTGAAACAAAAGCTTAAAATTCCCTCTTTATATACAGGAATTCAAGCTGTGTAAAATAGTATTATTTATTGCTAATGCGTTGTCTAAAGAGCTACCTTATTGACATTTATTTACTTAAATTTCTTCTTTTCCCCCGTTATAAGGCAATCTCCAAGCTGATTTAAGTGTAAAGTAAATATACATTGATGATGTATTTACTGAGCTGTAGTTTCATGTCTATATCCAAAGCAGATATAGTTAGGGAAAAAATACAAATCTTTATGTGCTAAATCAAGGACATATCATTTACGATCTAAAATAAAATTTGCTATTTTTTTAAAAAATTTATAACCAAGAGTTTCAATACAATAAAAAATTATTTTATTACAAAAGTCAAATCTGAAACTATTATAGGGTAGACATTTTTTTACATTCATAAAGCGCGCACTGAAGATCTTACACGCATTCAATGTAACTTTCCACTCACTTATCAGGTTTTTATTTAGTATAATAAATCTGAACTATTTGATGGACCAACCTGAGATATGCTTATAATAAGTACAAGTGATAATTTATGTTACATAATCAGATAAATACACATATTCTTTCTTTCGTTCTTAAAAAATAAATAATAAATATACCAACAGTCTTGATTATACGATATGAGGTGTTTTAGTACTTAAGTCAAGAGACTGTCAGAAGTTCTAACCCCGTAATTTTTTTCCTATTCTTAATATATTTCAGCATAATTCCCAAAGTAAACACTTAGGAAATAAAAAAAAATTGCTGCAGTGCTAAAAAAGAACTGACAACTTTGAATAACTTTTGATCTATTGATTAGATCTCCACATTCTAGGGCTCAATCTTAATGGTTCGGAGCTTGGACCATTCTCCTGATCAAACTATTATCATCGTATTTCCCAGATACTATTATCATCGTATTATTATCTATATTATGGCAATCAAAAATTCGAATCCGGCAAAAAAGGTGTGTTTATTCAGTACGTTTCTGTGTCTGATTTCGTATCTTAAATTATCGCATGCACTAATTAGTTAGCATATATGAGATAAACCCCTTGAAACATTAAGATCGAGTCCTAGATCATGAAGATCTGATTATTAGAACAAATGTTACTCAGGGTGGTCCTTTCTTTGCGCATTGTACCTCCAAATAAAGAAGGTTTTGAGCAAAAATGGATGTTATCGAATTTTGATTGTATGGCGTTATAACGAATCAAGCTTTTCTGAAGAAACAGCTTTATATATGGGTCATTCTCACGAAAACCGTCATTTTTCAGTTCATAAAATCCCGAAAAAGTAAAGTGAATAAAAAGCTCTGAAACTTTTTATATTAATAGAAATATGTAATGGCATTATAAAGAAAGTATATATCCTATAAAATATACTTAATATTTAAATTAATTAATTTTTTAAATAATTAATTTATAATTAATTAATTTATAATAATTAATAATTAATTAATTAATTTAATAAATAAATTAATTAATTTATGAAATTAATTTATTAATTTTTTTTATTTATTTTTCAAATTAATTAATAAGTAAATTAATTATTTTCACTATTTAAAAAGTGAGGGAATGACACTAATAGTGAGGGAATGATATTTTATTTTAATACATGTTTTTATCTAAGTTACATC